ATCACTGGGATTAAGTTCCCAAGTCAGGCATAAGGCAAAAATCACTTATAAAGGGCGCTTTTCATTTCCTCTATAAATAGTGAGCCTTGTTACTGGGAATCACAGTGAAGGGGGGGTGGGTTCTTATTAGAACGGCAGACTCTCACACCACATCCCCAGTCCCGGCATCAGAATCTGCAGTTGACAAGAACCCAAATAGTTCTCCTGTCCTTCCAGAAGAGCTGTCCATCACAGCAGAGGCCCTACTGACACTGCCTCGGTCTCCACTGTCCTAGCATGTTCTGCTCACATACATGTATATGTTATATACAAGTTATGTGAATGTACTATGATTATATTTACTCGAGAAGCCTGCAGAGAGGTGATTATAATACAAGCTTTGATGCCAGGTATGCTGGGAACCAGGGGCAGGAACACATGAAGCAGGACAATCGGCCCAGCAGGGACAGGGTCCCTCTCAGCGGGCCGTCGCTCCCTCCCCAGGAGTTTGCAGCATGTGGTCCCTGGACCTTCTGCAGGAGAACACTTGGTAAAAGGCAGGTTCCTAATCCTAGCCCAAGTATGTAGAACCTCCCGTGTGGAACCCAAGAATTTGCATGTTTAAGCAATTCAGGAATCTCCTTCTGACCAAAAGAGTTGGGAATTATACCACTAGCTGTGCAAGAGAGAGAAAAGGGAGCGACACCTTTTCAGTATGTCACCCACCTGCTTCAGGTAGACTAGCCTCTCCTGCAAATGAAGACTGAGCCAGTTGTCTAAGCAAAAGCTGTCTTAATAATAAGTTAAAATGTCTTTCATTTCTACATACATTTAGATTTACTAGTATCTGGGTTATCTGAAAGACTATTATTGATTCTTCTATGAAACTATAGTGAGTAATAAATACCATTATCTATGATTCTATTTGAGAAAGAAATATAACTCCTAGACTTTACCTTAAAGTAATGCGAAAATATCTTCTATGTACCAATTATATCCCTAGCACTACAAATTATGTTGATAATGAAGTATATACGTTTAAACACCTTAAGAAAAAAAGAAAAAAGAAATAATTATAGTCAGGGGAGGGTAGGTGGGTGGGAAGTGATTAACCCAAGAACTTGTATGCATATATGCATAACCCATGGGCACAGACAATAGGGTGGTGAAGGCCTGGGGAGGGAGGCGGGGTTGGGCTAGAAGGGGTCAATGGGTAAAAAAGGAGACATATGTAATATTTTCAACAATAAAGATTAAAAAAACAAAAATTAAAAAATGAAAGAAAAGGAAATGATTGTGTTCCTGCACATTGTTGAACCCACTCATTCTTCACATCATCTCAAATCCAACTGAGAAGTCACTTTCTGAGCAGAAAACGCCAGGGCTGTCTCCCAGGACAGCAGCTTCCTGTGTTAACAGGGCTGCAGGGAGAATCCTCCGAGCCATGCTGTTAATTGGAGGCCTTTGCGAGAAGTCTGAGGATACACAGGCGTGGTGACTGCCGGGCTTTCTGCCCTGGGGCGCCAGCAAGGAAATGAACTTCAAGCGCGCCCTGCTCTGAACCCTGGCCTTGGGAGGGCAGGGAAGCTGGCCCCCGCGGCCCACAGGGGCCCATTTGCTCTTGAGTGGGGCTGTTAACCCTTGGACTCTCCATGCTTCTGGGATTTATCTCATTTAATCCTCCCGTAGCCAAATTCATTAGTGGTAAATATTCCGTCTCATTCTTCTCCCAGTTGCCTTCCCTCATATTCATCCCCCCGCCACCCCGTTTGCCTTCTGCATTTGTAAGCCTGACCATCACTTCCCATTTCTTTTCAATAACCCATTTCACTTAATTTTGGTCTATTTATAGAATTAATATTTTCCTTTGCTGATTTTAGGGGGCTACTTTTACTCTTTTATCCTTTTTCTATAGATGGTTAACATTTTCTTGTCCTACATTTTTAAGTTTTAGGTGGAGGTGGAAGCTGTTATGAGAATTTCTGGGCAAAACTGAGACTTGACCGCTGGTCAGACTCCGCCTGGACCAGGGACCTGGACCTGGCTTTACCGCATGATCCATAGACACTGAGGAAATACCCACCTACCAGCACCCAGGCTGCATTCCCTATCAAACACTGAGGCCGCCCCAGGCGGTGCCCAGGAGCCAGCATTTGTAAAGCTCCCTGCATGGCTTAGTTTGCACCTGGTTGAGTACTGCCATGTAAGAACCCCAGTGTAATGACCCAAGGTTTATACACACATGGCAGGACATGAAACACAGGCCAATGGATACCTGACTTGAAGGAGAGCCCGGAGCAAGTGGAATCTGGAGCTGGTCCAGTACGTCCATGAGCTCTCAGCGCCCTCCTTCTCGAAATACTGAGAAGACAGAAGTTGAGGCTTACAGATTACTCTGAGGCCAACACAAACTTTTCTGTGGACCCCATCCTAATCCCAGCAAAGGTTCTTATTAACCACTAGATGTCCCTAAATTAATCTGAAAATGATTTCATTTTCTTGAGTGAACACCAATCTAAAGACAAGTTTAAGGATGGGGAACTGACTGCTATAATTAGGGGCTGGGCTGCACTTAGCCAAACTTGGGGTTGCCTTTAGACCCCACTATGGTGCTCTGGGAGGAGCTAAGTCAGGAAACCTGTTTCCTCCTCATCAGTTTCATGCTATGCAAAAGATCTACAAGAACTTGGAATGTGCTAAGAATAGATTCTACACTTGATCTTAGTCACAAGGCCAAACACAAGCCTGGAAAGGACTTTCTAACCTCAGAGGGAAGGTGGGGAGAGTGGGTGGGTGGGACGAGATCAACCAAAGAACTTGTATGCATACATGCATAACCCAAGGACACAGACAATAGGGTGGAGAAGGCCTAGGGTTGGGGGTAAGGGCGGGCTGGAAGAGGTCAATGGGGGAATAAAGGGGACATGTATAATACTTTCAACAATAAAGATTATAAAAGAGATTTTAACAAGAAAAAAAGAACTTGGAATCGATTAAATGAGAGAGAGATGGTAAATGTCAAACAAAAGAGATAAACATTGAGACTGTTGAGAGGCAGGCAAGCTGGTGAGATGAGGAACAAAGGCAAATTATATAAGAGAATCACACACAAAAAAACTTTAAAAATGATCTCAAAAGACTCAAAGAGTAGAATCAACTCTGCAAAAATCAGGAAAATGAAAGTGAAACAATTATGAAGCAATAACCTAGAATCCAGAGACTAAAGAGCATAAAGACAATTAATTCCCTGGCCACTTACTAAGTGCTTATCTCTGAGCAAAATACTTTATGTAGGAAATTCATTTTTTATCTTTACAACAATTATAAAACATAAAAAAGGTTTCTACCCCCATTCTATATATGAGAAGACTCCTGGTCTGGGGATATGTTTGTAAATTCCCCTGAGATCACACAGGCAAGAGACAAGTAAAAAATAAAAACGAAAATAACGGTGATGGCTAATACCGATTCTATGGTGAGAATTATTTTTAAAGCGTTGATTCCTTTAAACCCCAATAACCACCTTATCGGTCAGAAAAATGCAACTGATGCATCTACTTGGTTGTAAGAAAGTAAGAAAGCCCATGTGATAGATTCGGTTTCTCCTAGGGTGTTTAAGATGATTTGATATAAATATCCACTGAGCTGGATGAGAAAGCGAGGCTAGCATTTAGATAGTTTGGAAAAATATAAAATATTTAATGAGGAGGCTGGGAGAAGGAGCTTATTTTAGAAATGTGATAGGACTGGCGTCATGACCGAGTGCCCGTTTGGAAAATGCAGGCTGAGAATTTTTAGTGACGAGATGCGTGTGTGCGTGTGTGCGTGTGTGCGTGTGTGTGTGTTTCAGCCCCTTTAGCTACAAGGTGCCCATTGGGCAAAGTCAAACTGTGGACTAACTCAGGGTGGGCTTTTATCAGGTGGTAAAAATAAAAACAAAGGTAGTAAAAACAGATTAAAAAGAAACTGTTGGTATATTTGAGCTGTAGAGGCTAAAGAGTCTAAAAAAGGAAGTAAGGGCTCAAGGGGGTGGACCAATAGCCCCCTGACAAGATCATTACGGCCACTCCAAAATCCATATGATTTTTCAAGTTATAAAATTCTTTGACAGAGGAAAACATGTTTTTTTTTCCTATCATATTTATGAAGTATTTTCCTTTTTTTTGGTCAAAGGCTTATTCTGACTTTCTATTTCAGGTGCTGTAACAGTTCATGAAGCTGTAAGCTGCTCTTATCACACGTGTGCACGGATTTGAGTCCGGGACATGTGTGTGATGTCCATGAGTCTAATCCACTCCCATCGGTCTGCATGGCCCCGTGAGAAATTGATTCACCGGGGCGCCCACCAAACTCCTGGCACTCTGATCCTCCTGTACCCAGACATAATTAGGTTTAATCGGCAATTTTACAATAAGTAATGGTGCCATGAACTTGGGCTGGTCCCAGAGAGTGCATTTTTTGCGTGGTGAGGTAGGTCTGCTGGTGCTGTATGAACATGCAGGATCCCTAGAAGATGTCTGAAGAGCTTTAAGAGCTCTAGACACCTGTGACCTAATCTCCTGGGGACAGAGAATAGCAGCCTTGTACTGAAGCTATGCATAAAAGTCCACAATGAATCTTTTCACCTCAAATGGACGCAGGATTCCATCTCATTAGATGGTTGTTTTGTTGTTTAACGACTATTATTTTTAATTTTTATGTGTTTTTTAATTGATTTCAGAGAGAGGAAGGGAGAAGAAGAGAGAAAGAAACATCAATGATGAGAGAGAATCATCCATTGGCTGCCTCCTGCCCACCCCCTATAGAAGTTCAAGCCCATGACCTTGACCTCCTTGACCTCCTGGTTCATAGGTGGACACTCAAATGAGCCACGTCAGCCAGGCTGGTTCTTATTTCTAACCAGGCACATATAGATGAATAATTAATGCTTTTGGAGGAAAGAAACCTTAAAGAATGCTTTTACTTAAAATCAAACAAAAAGCAAATGAATAAGGTTTACTCCCACGAGGAGTCACCTCTACCTGTGAGGTTGCTGGTATGCACAGGCTCAGACGTGACACAGGGGGTGCGGGGTGGGCCGGGCCCGCCACCCTCAGGGCAGGCTCTCAGGATGTACTTCTCAATCACACCTCTGACCTCCACAGGTTCATCCCAGGCCACTTGTACGCTCGATCCGTTTATGCTGCGGACTCTGGAGGGGGCTGGCACGCTGGGTGGAGCTGCAGACGAGTGAGAGAGAAAATAAGAGGAAATGGCCGAGCGGAGGAGACTGCTGCCCCATTCTTCACTTTTAATGGCCGCAGTAAATCAGGCTCGACCATTAGCATAAATACAATTTATTAGAGTTGTAACTTTTCAGCACTGATTTAATATGACTGCACATCTTGAGCCATTCGGCTTAAGCGATATTTCAAAACCATCAAAACTCCATCGACATAACGTGCTTTCGAGTCTGGTCCAGGCTTTCCCCAAACATTTAATGGAGCCGACATGTTTCAAACATCACTCATAAGGGAGGAGGTGGACGGTGGGCAGGTAACAAGTTCAAACAATGGAACGATGTCCCCCTTTGAAGCGAGATAATTAAGACTGTTATTATACACAGCGGTTTGACACTTTTATATCTTGGGTGGATTAGCCAAAAATTATCACAAATGTGATGATATTTTACTGGGATATCTGATCTCACTTTCTACATTCAATTGTTCTCAAATTATTTTTAAAAAAATCAAAATTCTCTCAGATATGATATACAGATGCATTCCCAATTGCATTTCAGGGGGTGGAGAAGCGCGTGTCCTTGAGATTCTACACAATCATTTTGGGGGATGTTTTCTACAGAGTATCAAAAAACACTAATACAGCCCAGCTAGTGTGGCTCCGTGGTTGAGTGTCGACCTCTGAACCAGGAGGTCAGGGCACATGCCTGGGTTGCGGGCTCAATCCCCAGTGGGGGACATGCAGGAGGCAGCTGATCCATGATTCTCTCTTATCATTGATGTTTCTATCTCTGTCTCCCTCTCCCTTCCTCTCTGAAATCAATAAAAAACATATTAAACACACACACACAAACCCACTAACACAAAAAAAGGGATTTTAAAGCAACTGCAAAACTTCACTTACAAGCTGTGTCCCCTAATTTTAAAAATCTATACCTTTAACTATTTATCACGTGTTTCCACGGATCTGATCAGTAAAAACTTCATCACAGCTGACTGCGCTGGGGACACAGAAAAGGCCCGAGGAAGCCCTGGCAGGATGATGGATGAGAGGCCTGCTGTGGCTGCTCCTGGACTCCGGGGCCCTGTTGGGGACGGTCGCTCCGGGTTTCCCCCATCCAGGAGCCTCCTGCTCGGACTTCACCGTTCAGACCAATAAACAAGGCCAGCTTCCGGGGAGACAACATGAGCACAAAGGCCGAGAGGAAGCGCGGAGGCGAAGCGCTGGGGTCTGTGCCGTGAAAACAGCTTGGGCGCCCACAGAAAGCATGCTGGCCACACGGTCGAGCTGCAAGTAGAGGGATCCCGGGAGCGATGCTGATTTTATTAGTTCTGAAATGCGGTGCCCGGCAAAGTACAGGGCTGTCTAACAGATGGTCTTCTCATAAGGGACAGAGCAAAACTGACTCCAAAATAATTAAATAGCGCAATTATTCTCCAACCCCCGGGAGCATGTCACTGCTCAGGGTTGTGGTCAGATTGTAAATATGAATTTATGGCATAAAGACTCGGTGGTCAGACTGTCGCTATAAATTCACTGTTCTATTTGCATATTTTCTCGGTGGCCCTCAAAAGGGAGACTACTGAGCTATGCTAAGTGATGCACTTTCTAGATACCGATTTCCAGAATCAGACGAAAGGCAGGCTTTATGGTGTATTTGCTAATAAAGGAGAGAAGTGGGCCCTGGATGGTTTGCTAAGTGGTTAGAGCATCAGCCTGTGGACTGAAGGGTTCCAGGTTCGATTCCGGTCAAGGGCATTTACCTTGGCTGTAGGATAAATTCCTGGCCCTGGTCGGGTGCCTGTGGGAGGCAACCAATGGATGTGTCTCTCTCACACTGATGTTTCTTTCTCTCCTCCTCCCTTCTACTCTCTCTAAAAATCAATGGAAAAATATACTCGGGTGAGGATTAAAAAATAAAAATAAAGTAGGAAAGTGTGCAATAGGGTCAGAGGACATGCCAGTAACAATTAAATAGTTTATATCAGAGCTTTCTCCAAACTCTGAACATTCAATTCGTCTTGCCTACAAATAAATGATCATTTAAATCATCCCGGGAAAAGGGGCATGCTGTCTTCTTCTGGAAAATCTGTAGGCAGAGAGCTTTGAAAATTATTTTAGTAGCCCATCTCAGTACACAGTCATCTTTTAGATGGACAAGATTCCACAAAAGATTCCTGGGTTAGTCACGCATTGTTGATTAAAAACAAAGAAGTATGAGAGAATATCTTGGTGAAAAATGTATCTTTGGATAAACTGTGACTTGCTCGGGATCAATGTGAAGAGACGTTAAGTGGCATCACATGGAAATGTATTTGCCTCTCTCACAGACACCTGACCCAAAAGGGTAGAAGGCTTCTGACTCACACAACTTTCTGTGAGGAACGCCTTGCTGTGATGACACTACGCAAAAAGACATATCGTCACCGTCAGACGCTCAACGCACTCATAAATCGGTTGTCTGGGATGAGACCTAGGGCATTCTATCTAACTCCTAGTTGTCTCTACTCCGACTGAAAGAAAGAGTAGACCAGTCAGCAATTTCTGTCCTGGGAGAGTCATTCCAAGACCCTACAGTCAGCACCGTCGCAAATATCTGGCCTGACGGAACCAAACCCAGGTGCTTCCAACCAGGGCGCAGGTTTCAAGGTCACCTTCTGGGAGAGGGAGGCCACCCCCTCAGTGGTCATCCCGACGTCACTTCCTGTCCAATCTATCACGGCTTCCTGTCCTCAGCCTATTACTGTTGATGCAGGCTGTGAAATCCCTAAGACAAATTGAACGTTTCTTCTTCGGAAGAGGAAAGAGTCAAGCCTCAGCCTCTACTTACTAAATACCCGAAAAAGCAAAGCACTTCAGTCATCAGCAGATGCGTCAGCCAACCAAGGCACGCGCCGCCGCAGAGCGCAACATGCTCCTTGCGCCAAGACTGTGATGGCCTTCCCTTTCCTTCACATGCGCAAACATGGGTGCACAGGCATGTGCGTGTGTGGGCACATAGACAGGTGGAGAGAAAAGCTATTTACCTGCTCCAGTTGTGCGCCCCCGGCTCCAGTCACTCCAGACAGAACCCCCTTCGTGCGAGGCCATCACGCGGTACAGGTATTCTTACATGGAAAGAAGAAGTAGAAGGAGTAAAACGTTAGTCCCTGCAGACAAGGGGAAGGGCTGGCAGGAGGGAGCAGGACGAGGAGGGGGAGGAGGTGGGTGACATGTCACGTGGACGGAGCCCCCCACGTTACCTGTGAAGGGCTGCAGCCCGTGCTCCTGCGCGCTGGGCTCCGGGCCCCGGTACACCAGGATGGAGTCGTTCCCCCTGCAGTTAACGGCGCTGTCACTTGACAGGCATCCGTCCAGATTGACTCTGACAGTGCCGCTGGACACAGATGCCAAGCGGAGAGCGGTGCCGCGCTCAAACGCAACGTCCTGCATGCAGCCGCCAAAACCTGGCCAACAGGGAGAGACTGGTCACCCACAGGGTGAGAGCCACTCGTCACCCATCCTCTCTGTCCTCGGCGGGGCATCTGGGTGAGGGGTGGGGGGGGCGTTAGATACAATCTCTAAACCTGCACATCTCCTGGGGGAACCCTTGGTGCCCCCTCCACTGTCACAAGGAAATGCTTATATTGATGTTATTTGGGAAAAAAATATAAGCAGATGAGTATAATTCAACTGAACTTTATTCAGCTGAACGCCTGCGCTATGCCTCTTCAGGTCTATATTCCTCCTTGTGCAGATGCTACTGGAATGAAATTTAGCTCACTGCACATTATGGCAGAGGTGGGGGGATCCACATGCCCGCGATCCCGAAAAATTAAGTTACCTATTAAAGTGAGTGTTGAGGGCCACAAAAATAAATATCTCAAGTAGCATAATTTTTCAACAAGATCACTGGGGGGAAAGTACCTTTTGAGGGTATTATGCAGGACACCAGGAGGGAGAACAGAGTTCTGAAATACACTGGGGTCCTCAGATATTGCCCTGCCTCCCTCACTAATCGCTTCGGAGATACAGAACAAAGTCCCTATAAAATCAACAGACAGAGAGAAGGGCTATGGCTGCGTTCAACCATTTTCACTGTATTCCACACCGTGAATGTACAAACGGTCCCAGTTTGGGGTTGGTGGTGGCATGACAGGGACTGGGTTGTTTTGACAATGGCCACACCCAGAAGTGTCCCTGAATGTGTCATCCACACAGTCGACTTTAAAACGACCACCATGCAGTTTAAGTTCATGAAGATGAACCACAGAACGTCGAGAAAACGGAGGGGGATGCACTGGTTTTTAGTTGGAAAACTTCAGGGCAGCCAGCCGGCTGGGGGACAGCAGTTGCTTTCAGTGACACGCTAGTGGGTGTAAACAGAGACCAGCTCGGGGAGGCTTGGCAGTTCTCTGCTCAGAAAACTGCACAAAATGGTCATAGAAGAAATGAGCGGCCTGCCTTTGAGATTGCCACTGTGCGCACCTACACACACACACACACACACACACAAACACTCGTTCTGAACTGAACACGGTCAAGTTCGCAAGGCCCCTAGCACATGATTAGCTCTTTTCAAGACGAAAGCACCTCAGCGGAGAGTGGAAATAAAACATCATGCAAAGGCTGAGCAGTAAAATAACTTCATAGTAACAATGAACACATTGTTCTCTTCAGAGTTTATATGGTGTCTTATTATCTCTCCAAACACATTACGTTGGGCCTATTTCCTTTTTAAACACCGTTGCTATTATTCACATTCCTTTAGACCCGGCCGATCGATACTGCTGGTCTATCGTGAACACACAGTAGATGCTCCGTAGTTGGGTGAATTGAATTAAAAGCAATGAAGCTCAATACAAAGGCATCTGCTTGAAAATTCCAAAGCTAAGAATGCAAATTTCTTTGCCAGCGATTTTCTGACGGCACGGAGCTGAATCACCCGACTTCTCTGCACCCAGCAGCCAAACAGCGACCACGAAAGGCAGCTGTGGCCAACACCTGTGCTGTTATGAGAAACCCCGTTACGAAGGGGCACAGTTTCCGTTGGCAAGACAGAAAGAATTCTGGAGGTGGATGGTGGTGATGGTCGCACAACAGTGTGAACGTACTTAATGCCACTCGACTGTGCATGTAAAAATTGTTAAGATGGCAAACTTTGTTATGTTGGATTCAGCGCAACCTTTAAAACTGTAAGAAAAAATATCTTAAAAATTAATTTACAGGATGGGATTTTAAATGTGGGAACGGCCACAGAGTCTTCCTTCATTCTGGAGATGAGGAAGGCCCAGCCGAGCCGGTGGGGCTCAATGGCTGAGCATGGACCTATGAACCAGGAGGTCATGGTTCGATTCCTGGTTAAGGGCACATGCCTGGGTTTCAGGCTCAATCCCCAGTGTGGGGTGTGCAGGAGGCAGCCGATCTTTGATGTTTCTATCTCCGCCTCTCTCTTTCTCTCTGAAATCAATAAAAATATATTTGAAAACAAACTATGTTCATTTTGTATCCATTCTGAGGAATTCATACATTTTCAGAAGATATCCTTGGGGATCGAGCAGAGGGTTCAGGGAATGAAGTCTGCAACGTTCTTTCCCACCTGCACCGGGAGAAGTATTCCCATCAGGAACACTCCGCAACTTCCTTCCAGATCTGAACGGGGCGGGAGGATAAGAAGAGGGGCGAGGGTCTGTGAGTGGGAGCAGTGTGGGCGCCTCCTTTTCTTGCTTCCTTGCCTTTTTGAGAATCAAAAACAAACAAATGAACAAACAAAAAACCCTCCCACTCCTATGACCACTCCCAGGCCTTCACATCATTGAAAGGTGGCCCAGAACCGAGGGCTGACACCTCAGCCAGGAGCCCTTCTGAAGGAGGCGGTCCAAGGCCAGGCTGGTGGTCTGGCCGGAAGGCTGGCTTCAGCCCCCAGTGCCACCCCTCCAGGGAGCATGACCTGTGACACCATGTGTCATGCCCGCACTTCCAACCTAGTGGTCAGTGACAGTCCCACGGGCAGTTCTAAGCTAAATGCCCAGGATCTGAGCTAGTACATGGCCAGCGAAGTATGTTGCCCGGCATATCCACAATACACAGAGAACTTAATTTGCATTTGATTCAAAGGAAGATTCCAACATTAATGGATAAGAAAAAAACACACACAAAAAACAGCCCTGGCCCTAACTGGTTTGGCTCAGCAGATAGAGCGTCTGCCTGCAGACTCAAGGGTCCCAGGTTCGATTCCGGTCAAGGGCATGTACCTTGGTTTCGGGCACATCCCCAGTAGGGGGTGTGCAGGAGGCTGCTGATCGATGTTTCTCTCTCATCGATGTTTCTAACTCTCTATCCCTCTCCCTTCCTCTCTGTAAAAAGTCAATAAAATATATTTTTTTTAAAAACCACAAAAAAACAAAAAACAGCCCTGATATGACCACAAAACAGAGGCTCTGAAAGAGGTGCTGATGGAGAAGCCTGGAGAGATTTCTAAGATTGTGGATAACGGATGGAAAAAGGTACAGCACGTGAACTCGAATTTGAACTACAGCTGAGTTCACTGTGCAGCACCTCTACACAGTGAATAGTCTCCTGACCTCCGTCTAAAACATGCACTGACTTGTAAAGACCAGTAGCAATCAAAGCATCTGCGTTGGAATCGGAGGAAATAGGGTCATAAAATATGCATTTTTAATAACCTTTCCAGGCAATTCCAATGTATGTTGGTGAGCAGTAACAACAATGATGACGATGATAATGATAGCTAATTTTATTGAGTTCCTACTATGTCCCAGTCCTAATATGTACTGTACTTCATATTTTATCAGTGGTTTCAGACCGCCTGATGTAGCTGATACTGCACTGATAAAAATTTAGTATTACCCATAAATAAAGTATCTTTCAGGATTATAGACTCGGTCACAGCGTAGATTAAATCATTCCCCTTGGGTCTAGGTTGATGTTCTCAGCTTCTGTCATTATAATATGACAATCCCAGTTTAAGCCATGTCTCTACGGCCCTCATGGGAATGGGTGTTGGAACACTTTAAAGTAAAACGCATGGTAGGGATTTTTTCCCCCTAGATCTAAATAAGGTCAAGTCATCTTGTTCAGATAAAGGGTTTCCAAGCTCTTTCTCACCTCGGCAACCTGAATTCAGGAGAAGCCTTTATATGGATGTAATATTTCCAGCCTCTGTTACATCTTAAGTGCCTTGAAAATGTCATTACTGTCGTACACCTCAGATATTCATTAACTCCTTACCCGTACCCTTCTAAAAGTCTTCTTAGAGCTTGCCATATATTTTCTATTCGAAGGCATTTAAATCTTTATGTACTTACCAAATAGGCAAAAGCTGCTTTGTGGAAATTTTAACCATTCACAGTGCATGGGTTTTAGAACTAGGTAGAGACCATTTTCTATGTGGGAGCATGCCAGGCCACAGGCTGGGGGGTCTCTGTGTCCTGCCCCCCCACCTCTTAAAGCAGAGGTTCTCAACCTGTGGGTCGCGACCCCTTTGGCGGTCGAACCACCCTTTCACAGAGGTCGCCTAAGACCATCCTGCATATCAGATATTTACATGACGATTCATAACAGTAGCAACATTACAGTTATGAAGTAGCAACGAAAATAATGTTATGGTTGGCTCACAACATGAGGAGCTGTATTTAAAGGGCCAGAAGGTTGAGAACCACTGCCTTATAGAGAAGGAACAGTGGCCCATGCCCATGAAGAGAGCACTTCTTATAAGAATGTGGACATTGACGCCAGGACGCCTGACCAAAGGGCTTGCTAGCTGCTTACCAGCCACGTGACTTTGGACAAAGTACTTTCCACCCTGCTCTTCAGGTTCCTCATCAGTCAAATGGGGACATAGATACGGGTAGTAACTCCTAACTCCTAGGCTCCTTAGGAACAACAAACTCCATCTCCTGGAAAGCTCTCAGAACCATGCCCGGCACCCAGCACAAAATCAGCCATTGGTACCTTTCAAAATAAACAATTCATCTAATTATGCTCAATCTCATTATGTGAGTTAAATGCTGAGTTACGTGAGTTACTTTTTTCCTCTACTTATGTTAAAACCCATGATATGAGTTAAATACTTCAGTATGACTCATACACTCATGAACTTTTCCTTCCTGGTTATGAATCAATGAAACAGATTTTTTTCACAAGCATGTTTGAAACTCAGCTAAACCCAGCTCTGGGCGCGTTGCTGCAGGAGAGGGCCATGGAGATGCATGGAGACACTTAGCACTTACGGCAGAAAACAGCCCTGGTGACCTGAACGCGTTTCCTAGTTGCACACCAACCTAATTTATGTTTTTATTCTGTAAATATAGATAATGATCAGTCTTCAAAAAACCCAGAACCACATACGTTTTCCAGGAAAACATAGAAGTACATATTATGTAAATTAAATTTTCTGAAGACATGTTAGAATACATATATTCATTATAAATATAATGATTATGGAGGAGGGCATGCTCCTAAGGGCAATATACAAAACTATGGGAAGACGTGATGTTTTGTTTTTTTTTGTAACTTCACATTATGCAATAAAGGGGTGAGTGGGAGTTGCTTTTACCCTGACTCTATCGCTACATTTTGAAACAAGAACCACCCAAACAGAACCACCCAAACCTGGTAAGACCAGGGCTGCCATGATTTGGCGATTCCTCCAGGTGGAGTTTACCTGGCTCCAAACCCAGGTGTGCATGAGAGTCCTGCAGCTCGGGGGGGACTCCTCCCAGGTAGACGGCGGAATTCACAGCCAGCGGCTGGGCTCTGGGCTGTGACACGCGCTCCATCAGTTCATTCAGGCTGGCAGACACCAGGGCACCTTCCTTTCGAACTGTCACCTTATTCCACGTGCCATCACAGTAGGACAGCCCCAGCCACAGATCCACTCGGGTGAAGGTAAGACTGGTGTTTAACCGGAGGCTCAGTATTCCACTCTTCAGCTCCACCTGCATTCATAGTAAAGAACCAAACAAGTATGAAAAGACTAGCTCCCAGATGGGAGGTAATCAGCCAAAGACCTTGTATGCATAACCCATGGACACGGACAATAGGGTGGTGAGGGCCTGTGGGGGATGGGGATGGACTAGAAGTGGTCAATGAGGGGACATATGTAATACTTTCAACAAAAACATTTTTTAAAAAATAGACTAAAAATGACACTTTGGGAGAGAGCAGAAGTTCATTTTCTTAAAGAAAAGCAAGAAACATACCTGAGCCCCACCAGCGTGGCTCAGTGGTTGAGCATTGACCTAGGAACCAGGAGATCACAGTTCGATTCCCAGTCAGGGCACATGCCCAGGTTGTGGGATTGATCCCCAGTGTGGGGCGTGCAAGAGATAGCCGATCAATGATTCTCTCTCATCATTGATGTTTCCATCTCTTCCTCCCTCTTGCCTCCTCTCTGAAATCAATAAAAATTTTTTTTTTTAAAAAAGAAAGAAATGTCTCTGAAAGCGCTCTATAAAGAGTCTACTTTGTTTTAAGCCAAACTGGAGTAGCATACAATGAAGTACTTTGCAAGCTTATAATTGACATGAAGAATACTGTATTGAGTCAAAGAAAGTCATAGGCAGTAATGATTATATCACATGACACAACATGAGGCAGGCAGATACTTTTTGGGGATGCAATGAGGTAAAGATTATACACAAGCATAGGTGACTGAAGAGGACAGAACAGTTGGAACTATGGTTCTGTTTTTGAGTTTTTAGAAAATGAGAAAATGCTACTTTGTATATCAATTTAATTTTGGGGGGGAAATATGACAATAAGAAAATGAAATGTCAAGCTTGATTAAGTTTATTTTAACTGGTTAGTGAACTCAATTTCAAATTTGTAAGACATATTTTGATGTACTATTTCAGTTTTATTAGTTTAAATCTCTACTAACATAATTGCTTCTTTCAGATTAAGGTGCCATTTTCTAATATGAGCATAGTTTGCCCAATTTTTCATGAAACAGGAAATGCCTCCACTAAGTTTTCCTTCAAAATGGTACATGATAGCTATTTTCCCTACTGGGTTGTTGTTTTGTTAGAAGTCAAATCAGCAACCACAGGATACTTAAAAACTTGAGCTCAATCGTGTCTAATGAAACAAATAAGTAAAGCCAGATAAAAATTACTACTTTTGCTTTGTGTAAACAGCATCTTTGTGAAGTACATCAGGTAAGCAGTTCTTCATTTAACTATTCATTCATGCAATAAACATGGAACCGCTGCTATGTTCCATGGACCTGCTGCTCTGAGATAAACACTGTCTAACAGCGGAGAGAGTATGTGAAGTAACACCATAGCCAAGATGGAAATGGGGTTGATGAGAGAGATTCTGGAAATTGGGAAAGGCCTCCAGAATTGAAAGTGATGTGGCTTGGGAGAAAAAATAAAAACAAAAGTGAATCTGGAAAAAAATCCCCAGTGTGGGGCATGCAAGAGACAGCCGATCCCACAACCTGGGCATGTGCCCTGACCGGGAATCGAACTGTGATCTCCTGGTTCCTAGGTCAGTGCTCAACCACTGAGCCATGCTGGTGGGGCTCAGGTACATTCCTTGCTTTTCTTTAAGAAAATGAACTTCTCTCTCTCAAAGTGTCATTTTTAGTCTATTTTTAAAAAAATCTTTTTTGTTGAAAGTATTACATATGTCCCCAATTTAGTATAACGTAAGCCCATGGTTTGTTTATTTTACAATAGAATCTGACATTTTAAAATATATTTAATTAAAAGAATTAACGTACAGCAAGAAAATCAGGTCCGTCTTTGTTGTAAATGAAAAGGAGCAACCCATTCAATTGGTCTGTTCTGAACTTGAAGGAAATCTCAAAGTCCAGGCCACCATGAAATGTGCCTGGATCAAGTTCCAGGAACCCTTCAAAGAAAAGAATATGCACATATCAGCATGTGGAATGAAAAACTGCCAGCATTGTATGTCCTAAGATACCCTGAGGATACACACTGCAGTTGGGTAAATCTCTCACAAAAGAAGATGCCAATCAATGTTAAGAAATCTCCCTGTAGCCCAGCTGGGGTGGCTCAATGGCTGAGCATCAACCCATGAAACAGGAGGTCGAGGTTCAATTCCCAGTCAGGGCACATGCCCGGGTTGCAGGCTGGATCTCCAGTAGGGGGCGTGGAGGAGGCAGCCGATCGATGATTATGTCCCTTCACTGATGTTTCTATCCCTCTCCCTTCCCCTTCCTCTCTGAAATCAATAAAAAACAACACACACATGTAACAGAAATCCTGTAACTTTACAGACGTGGCAGAAGGAACTTGACACACCTTTTAAGAGGAAGTACTTTGTTCTTTAAATCACGGCTACAACTAAGACTGTTATTGTTTCATACAACCATTAACAATAAGCACTTGCACTGACTTCATAGAAACTCTGAATAATGACAGTGACAAGAGAAAGAGCAATGGAAGTGTACGCATGTGGCTTTCTATTCTGAAAGTAATTTAAGCAATGTAGTAACTGACCAACCTCATTCTAAAGGCAGGAGGCAAAGGTGGGCTTTCATTTGAAGAAGAAGCCATGTCCCCCAAGCGGCCATGCTCCCCCCTTCCCCTGGGGGGGCTGCCAGGCAAAGACAGTAGCTGGGGACATGCCAGGGACACAGCACCTCCCCCTTGCTGCAGCCTTGGGACAAATGGCAGTGACAGTGGTTATATCCTCCAGCTCTCCCTTCAGGACCTACTTACCTCCTTACAACGCTGAACTTTTACTCTGAGAAATATTGGCCCTCTACATGATAAACAGAGATCTGTGGGTTAATCTGGTAACTCCTTTGAAACATTTTTTTTTAAGAGGGAGAGGAAGGGAGTGGGATAGAGAGATAGAAACATCAATGATGAGAGAGAAACATCATGGATCGGCTGCCTTCTGCATACCCCCTGCTGGGGATTGAGCCCGCAACCTGGGCATGTGCCCTGACCGGGAATTGAACCAGTGACCTCTGGAATCCTGGGTCAGTGCTTCAGCACTGAGCCACACTGGCCATCTGAAACATCTTTCTAAGTACATTTCATTCTAAGTAAAACAACGGACTGACAAATGGACACTTGTGACACCTCCACATGTACACTCAGAGCTGCTTTGGGCCATCACAGAGCTTCCGCATGAAGAGATATTTATGATTCTTACCATTTATATTACGTATTTAAACTCTGACCATCAGGCATAACTAGGTATTCACATGAGGTCTAAGTACTTGAGCAGGGGAGAGCCAAGTACGCCAAGGATGGAACATGGGTGCACAGCAATGACCAACGGCTACGTGAGAACCTACCTGCTCCGAGGAAATGGGCTCCCTCTTGCAATGAAGAGGGACATCCCTCCCAGGTGTCATAGGAGTTGACCTGCTCTTCAGAATTCTGCCAAACCAGAGGCTCCCAAACAGCGGAGGGGTTGTAATTCTTCATAAAATGCACATCCTTGAGACAGCCCACAAAACCCTTTCGGACTATGCCTGCAGGAGTTGACAGACATCAAGAAATATGTCTTGTGAAAAATGCTTTGCAAGCAATTAATTTTATGTGCAATTAAAATAAAAGAATTGGGCACTCGCTCTCTACCTATTTATTGCAAACTTCTTAATGATTCATGTAAATGCCACACCACCACCTATGCTAAGTGGTAACAGAATATTTAGCCCTGGTTCAGACCCATCCTATATGCAGAAAGAGATGTTAAAGCGAAAACCCTCAGTTTTATAGTATTAGCAAGAATATTGACTTTTGAACTAACAAGGAGATTTCATCAGCCACGGTCTTAAAAATGAAAGAGTGGTCACATTTTAAAAGTATTTGAAGGAAGTGTTTCTATTAAATCTATAGTTTACAGTTTAGTTCCATCATCATAATAGACTAGTCTGTTATACAAGTCAGTCAGTAAGTTGACCTCATTTCTAGGAAGGGTGATTTTGTTTCCTAGATTAATTTCATTCACGTTAGTTTTATTAATTTCACTTTAGAGTCAGTTTTTGTTCTATGTCCTCAAATATAGGAATTAATTTGTGCCCCAATTCCGGCACGTAGGGCACGTGGATGGGATTATCTGTTGGCCTATCTGCTCCCTCCATCGTGGCAAAGGCCTCATGTTAGCCATTGACGGATATCCAGGACCTGAGTAGTGAGTGCCTTGCCCACCGTCCGGTCAGTTCTTTGCCCCATTCACTTAAACTGAAAATCAAGCCACCGCCATTTCTGTTTTCAGTGTTGTTTTGTGTTCAATTTAAAAATCTCCAAAAAATTGACACATAATGCTCAAATAAAACATCATCACTTTGACTGAAATTAGTATAATTCATTTAAGTCCAAGTTTAATGAACTCTGATACATCAAAGACTAATCACTAAGATTTTCAATGCAAGTAATACGTGGTTCCTTTGGGGGGTGGGGAAGAGACCTAGTAGAAATTTGTGGCTTATTGATATAGGAAACCAACATGACATATGAAATAATACATTACTCATATTTTTCAGTAATGCCATTTGATACTATTCTAAATATTGGCGACAACATATCAATCCCGTGCCCCCCCACACTCACCGGCGTCCTTCCTCAGGACGGCGTAGCCCCGCGGCAGGCCTCCCACAAACACGCCCGTGTTCTCTCCGATGATAGTGCTGCCATTCAGGAGCCCCGAGGAACCTGCGGAGGAGAAGAGAGAATCCCAACCTCAGCAGGAGGGTCTTTTTCTTTTTTTAAAATATCTTTTTTATTGATTTCGGAGAGAAAGGGAGAGGGAGAGAGAGATAGAAACATCAATGATCAGAGACAATCATTGATGGGCTGCCTCCTGCACGCCACCTACTGGGGACCGAGCCTGCAACCCAGGCATGTGCTCCCTTAACTGGAATCGAACACAGGATCTTTCAGTCCACAGGCTGACGCTCTATCCACTGAGCCAAACCAGGTAGGGCTGCAGGAGGATCTTTTTCTACTAATTTAACGAACGATTAACCCCTTCATGGGCTTTGGGGAGTTCGCTCTTTCTTGGTCCTCCTCTTACCTTAGTCCCCATCCTGGTTAAATTTCTTCACATGTTCCTCTTCATCACCCCAAATGTCTGGATGTTGAATGACCCAGACCTCCTCCCCTCTCTGATCTCTTTCTCCACTTACAATGATGCCTCCGGAGGAGGAATAGACAGTGGGCTGGGCTCCTGTGCGAACTACCAGGGCCAAAGACCAGAGAGGCCAGGGGCCCTGATTCTATTGCAAAAACATGCAAATCAATTTCCTTTTCCCAGCCCAAACCGTGGCAAGGAGCCCAGGTATGCCTGGTCCCTTAACTTTAAATACAACCCCCTCCGCTGTTTGGGAGCACCTCTGCCGACAACTCCCACGTGTCTCTCTAGCCTGCAAATCTCCCTGAACTGAGTCTTGTACGTCCAGCAACTTGCCAGGTATCTCCACGTGGATCCAGCCTCATAGAGATACAAGACTTAACACTGAACGCTGAACATCTCATTCTTCCAACCTGCTTTTCCTGACTTCTGGCCCATCTTAGTTATGGCGGCTACATTCTTCCAGAGGCCCCGGCCCCAAACCTAGCACTCAGGAGCAGCACCCTTTCTGTCAAGGACCAGATAACATATATTACAGGCCTTGCAGACCGTACAGCCCCACGCAGCCACAGCCAATATGTAACAAATGGATAGTCACGTTTCAATAAAACTTTATAAAAACAGACATGAGCTTACAGTGGCCCAAAGGTGGTAGTATGCCTTTTCAAATCCTTTTAATGTAACATTTACAATCTCTCCAGATTCCTCATTATATCCAGATATATATCCATTACATCTCATTGCTTCCCTTGTTCAAAAAAACGAACTTTGTTTTTTTTGGCCTGAATTATTTTATTCTAGCAGAAGCCTACTCACAGGTCTCCATGCTTCTATCCCTTGTTCCCACAAAAATGTATTCTCCTAAGAGCAGCCAGAGTGTTCCCTTTAAAGAAAGAAGTCACTCCACGTGGCTCCTCTCTCAGAGTTCCCTAGCAGCTTTCTTCTTTCCAAGTAAAAGTCCTCCAAGCCTCACTTCATACAGTCCTCATGGTCTCTCTGACCTCACAGCCTGCGCCAGCCCTCCGCCCCTTTTAGATCATATGCTGGCTTCTTGCTGGTTTGTAGACATGCCACATATGACATCTCCCAACTCTGGTCCCTGGCACCTACTGTTTCCTTGGCTGGAAACAGCCTTCTGCTGAAGACTTTCCTGACTGTCCCCTTTACCCCTTTAGGTCTCTGCTCAAATGTCACCTTAGCAGACAGGCCATTTCTAACAGTCTTTAATAAAATCAGAACATCCCCTCCCAACACACACCCACCCACCTTTCCCTCCTATCCTGCTTTATTATTCTCAGCATGTTTCTCACACTTGTTCAATATATATTTATTCTGTACTCTGTCCCTCTCCCACCTAAAGTGTAAATTTTGCTCGGTGTGTCCAGAATTCCTAGAGCAGTGGGTGGCATATAGTAAGTGCTACACTATATATCCTGAATGAATTAATAAAAGCCTGCAACATCATACAGGTACTGTGACTGTCCTATAATTGCAGGATGATGACAGAGAGGGTAAGATGGAAAGACACTCAACTTAGAATTGCAAAGACAGGATATGTAACCCCAACAACACAACCCACCAACCATATAAACTGGGAGAAATTATGTACCTTTTCTGAGGCTTGGTTTCCTTATCACTAAAATGCATATAATAACTGCTTTATTTTATTTGTCTCCTGAAGTCAAAAGTAACATGAAGTTCAGAACGTAAGTACAAGCCCTGGCAGATTGCAAGGAACTGTACAAGATACGAAATTGCCATTGATGACTTTGTCTGATTTTTCCTTTACTGAAACCCTACATAGATAAGAATAAGGTTGCCAGACTTATTTTCAGAGGCACCCAAAGGCCAACTCAAATGCAATTTAGATGAAATTGTGTGGAGGAAAAGGTGAAAGGAGAGATATAAAAATAAGTATGGCAACATCAGCATATAAACAGCCACTTATATACATCAACTTCTTACCTGTGTACTGCCCGTCCAGCGTGATCCAGCCAAAAGCCTGATGCCTCACAGCGACTATGTCATGCCATTTGCCATCACTGTATTGTTTATCATCATCATTAGTGGTGGTCACTTCCACTGAAGACCCCTGAAGGGAATGAAAGAGTGAGTGAATGAATGAATGAATGAATGAACACATGTTCAAACAAAAATACATATACAGAATGGGGAAAATTAGGTTTACTGTTGTGAGTATACAAAACACAATTTATTCTTATATTATCATTTATTAATTACTATATTATTTCCCATATGAACAATTGTAAACCTACCCTGAACAGAACTTCTCTTTGGAATAAGAATTTCTTACAAGTACATTTACATTTTGATGAGCTACATTCATCAGAAAGGTAATGAATTTTCTATTTTAAACTTTTCTATTTTAATTTTTGTCAGAAATATTTAAAAAGATAAGTTGAAACTAATAAAACACTATTCAATTGATATTGTTTTAATGACAGGGAAAGGTCTGGCAAGTTAGTTTTTCTTATGTACATTACACTACTAATAAGGAATGCGGTCACATTAAAATCAGCCAGCTACTAAAAAAAATTGACCATAGGTGTTGTGGTTAAACATAGTACGCAATGCTTGTACTCTAAAATCTAGCATTCATACTTATGCCTCAGGTAATAGTATCACAGTTCAAATGAGTTTCTAAGTGGGTACTAAGAAATGACAGATATCAAGAATTGAGATTTGCAAAAAGGATGTGGGGGTAAGAAAAGGAAAAAGAACCTTCTGTCTCAGCACTTTACAGCCAAGTGAACACCTTTTCAGTACATCACGACTGACACAATGGTACTCCTTTAGCGTGTATGAGCAAGTAAGACTAAATAAAAGATATCTGAACTTTGCCACCATCATCATTTAATACTACTAATAAGAAAAAGCAATCAGAAAATTATTCTAAACCTTCTAAATAAATAAATAAATAAATAAATAAATAAATATTTCTTTCTTCATGAAGTTTATTTCCTTAGCAACACTTAACTTCAATCCAATAACAATATTTAAAAACCAAAAATAAGGCTGGGTAAAATATTACAAATTATTCTCTTACTTGGAATGTTTCACAAAACTACTTATTTTGGTGTTGTGTTTTTCAAAGAGAGAAAACTGATCATTATCTGATGTAATATGGCTGAAGATTTATATCACAAAAAGTGCAATGTTAACCATACTATTTAAAACATTTATGTTTAAATTTCCCTAAAATAGCTTCAGCAATATAACATGTCCATTCTACACATTTAATTGGCTCCTGTCAGGCCTCATACAGAGCATGACAACACGTATGACATACAGAATTTCATATTACAAAAAAAAGTAGCGTTTAATTTCCCAGGAGTATAACTGGCTTGCTTCTCTCATGGACAATATCACAACCTCTATAGACAACTCGATTGGCAAGGAAAACGACCACTTGGTAAGTCCATTTTCTAGCCCTTGGATTTTCATAGGCTGACTTTTCTTATATCTCTTTCCTCTGCATGCTTTTTTATTTCCTTCAACCCTATTTCAACATTTTAATATTTTACAAACACACATTTCATTATCGTAGTTTAATAATTAAAACCAGAACTGGTGTCGTGCCCAATTAATGTGCCCTGGTACCATGCCCATTAGTTTTTCCATTAGTGAATTCAACAATACTAATGGGATTACTAGCATGGGATGCTAATTGGGCGTGACATAAGAAACTGGCTTACTTCTTAGCATACCCTTGCTAATGATGAAATTAATGAGCATTTTATTAAATGCTGTCTCATCAAAGTGTACTTAGTTAGCGTTAAAATTGTTACAAACGATGCTGCATTCTAAAAGATCAGGTGCCCGAGTTAGTGCTTCTTCATATTATGTTTGGCAACTATCTGAAGTATTAATAGGTCTCTACATTAGAAATCGCATTTATTGGAGATAAAGTCAAGGCAAGAACATACATACTCGGTATGTCAAATATGCTTTCTACTTAGCATATTATTCTTTGATCATCATTTTAAAGATGATTTCCCCCAATCAACGGTAAGAGAATAATGCTTGATCAATTCTGGTGTCATGTCATACAGTTTGTTCTTCCCATTTGGAAGATATCAGACATGTTAAATAGAAGCTATTCAGAATGTTGGAAACCTTTCACTGTCATAGCTTTCTAGTAAATGAAATCAGAATGCTTTGTGGATTTCCTGTTAATGTCACTGAACATAAAATATTTAAATGATAATCACTAGTCAAGTCATTGTTGGTCAATAAAATATCATCAGATCAAGTAAATTCAAACTGAAACCAATCCAGTAAAGAATGGAAAGATTATAGCTAATTGTTAGACTTTATAAAAAAATACTATTAAAAATTGGAGTCATTTGTCTCTGCCATGACTCTCAACAACGGTTCCAAGAGTTCAGTCCAGAATATGATAGCACATATGTAATTTTAAACATTATGAAGAATCTTTCTCCCTTCCCCTAAATATTTATTCATAGAATGCATTGGATAGCTAGATGGGAAACCAAATAAATTTTTACACCTGTAGCTTCCATGTTAGGATTACATTGTATGTTATGCATTTCATTCATTACTTATGTTCACTAAGAGATTTTTTATAAGAACAAAGTACACAATAACTTCGAGTTATTATGAAACTATATGCCAGACAGTAACTTTAAATTCCTAAAAAATGCTCTTTTTACAACTCAAAATTTAATGATTTTGAATAGATTCAGGAACTATAATTTAAAAATAACCATTAATAAAAGTCAAAGTATCTAACTGATAAAACAAATAATTAAATTGTTACATAATCTTTAAAGAGCTAGAAATCTTATTCTAGAAAATGGGTAACTGTCTTCGAGCCTGAGTAGTAGTTTACTAATGATTTTCAAGTCATTAAATTAGCCAATCTGTCAACAGACATTTCTTTATTGAGCATGTACTATGCTCCAAGGGTTGTGTGAAGCCTCAAGAATATATTTGAGGACAAAATAGACTTTGCCCTCAGTGGGTTAAGAAAGACACATTAAGGAAATAACTACTTATCTGATGACTACAATAGGATGTTCATCAGATAATCTCATCTCAGGTAGAGCCCCAGAGTAATTAAAAGAGAAATAGCTTGAATGTCAATGGGAGGGATAGCAAACAAACATAAGCTCCTTTAAACCCGGGGTAGCTCCCACTCTGTGCAAGGGGCTGTGCTGCTCTCCCTACCCAAAGAAGAACAAGCAATGAAAGAATATCCCCCAAATTTATTTAAAAGTTCACATCTTCATTATATAAGAAACATATGGTCATTAACTGCGTCGAGTACAACTATGTGTTCTGAAAGTTAGCTCTGCCATTTTAGCTTTGGGCAAGTTACATCACTTGTGTAAATTTCTTTTTCTTCATTACTAAAGTGGGGATAATAATAGTACTTACCTCTGTGTTTCTGGTGAGGATTTGATGTGAAAACATGAGCACTTACCTTAGTACCTGGCACCTAAGGAACTCAAAAATCTTAACTCTTGCCCAGCCGGTGTGGCTCAGTGGTTGAACATTGACCTATGAACCAGGAGGTCACTGTTCGATTCCCGGGCAGGGCACATTACTGAGGCTAGATCCCCAGTAGGGAGCATGCAGGAGGCAGCCAATCAATGATTCTCATCATTGATGTTTCTCTCTCTCTCCCCCTCTCCCTTCCTCTCTGAAATCAATAAAAATATATATTTAAAAATATCTCAACTCTCATGAGTAATCATTTACCTGAGGATCAAAGAGAAAATAAGGACGTCCGTGTTTCAACTGAAGTGCAAAGTACTCCTCCTGGTTGCCCGGGGACGCGGCAAAGACGAGCAAACCTTCAGGCTCCCTTGTTCGGAAGCTGGCCTTAATGCCTGTGGGACAAGGGCAGTCCGCAAGTCAGTGCCGGGTTTGTTGATTCTCCCTGATAAATGTACATTTGCTTTCATTATTATTTATGATGCAGTGAGTACAGTCAAGCAATTATACTAGTACAAGGGGATGTACGAGGAGGAGCCTAGCCGCGTGGTCTCAAATCTATCCCGTTATGAATGCCAACTTGGACTTGGAAGCCCAAGCCTGCACTCCCAGGAAATCCATATACATATAAGGAAGGTAAATTTATGCAAAACTCATCAACGAAACATGCATGGTGTCAACCCAAAATAGGATACTCAGAAATATCCATTTGACAGTGTTATCAGAGTCCTAAAAATGAATGGGTTTTGGACACGAGTGAAAGAAACAAGGGCCCTCGTTTAATACATTTACGTTCAAAGAACCGGTCCAGTAACAAGCTAAGAGCTAGGAAGACCTGCTGCGAAATGGTCCACAGAGTAGAGCTAATGTTCTGAAACACCATTCTGTAACCAGAAGGTCTGCAGCCTTCCGAATTTTAGGGTCTCCCCTGGCCTTCACATCACCTACCAGCTCTACCTTAGACACATCGTGCTCCTGTCTCACAGCAACTTCTCCAGCTCAGGACGCAGAGCAGTTTTCAGCAGTCACATAGACACCTTCCCACTGTCACCACCTGGTCCCACCTCCATTCTACCTGGTATCCCACCTGCCATACTACAGAGGTTTCCATTGTGTGAGGCATTTCGCTTATTGCATTGAAATTAGCAAAGAAGTTCAAGAGGCACAATCTTGATTCTGAATGAGTTTCCGGTTTAGTTGGAAAGATCAAACGCATACATATATATAGAGTAACTAGTGGCCCAGTGCACAAATTCATGCACAGGTGGAGTTCTTTGGCCTGGCTGGTGATTGGGCCGATTGGGGCTGTCTCGCCTAGTCCCTATCAGGGCCGGCCGGGGGCAGGAACTGTGGGAGATTGGTTGGCCAGGGGAGGTTGGCTGTGGCAGTGCAATGACCACCAGGGGGCAGCTTCTGTGTTGAACATCTGCCCCCTGGTGGTCAGTGCATCATCATAGCGACCGGTCGACTGGTTGTTCGGTCGACGGGTCGTAATGGTCACTTAGGCTTTTATAGATATACATTATATGGTCAGAGTCAAGTAAAAGCTCAAGAACATACATGGGAATCATGTACCAACCAGCTCAACAGCACCGCACTGAGTAACTCATGGATGCTGATTTGAGTAGTAACACCACCAACCAGAATTATGAAAGTCTGAAGGAGAGAGAGCTCCTTTCAGGCTGGGCTGGTAGGGAAGGGTTTCATTCTGAGTTCAGCAGACTGCAACCACCTCAACAACCACGCATGTCTAATCGATCTTTCCTCATGCTTCAGATCCTGCTAGGAAGATGAAATGAATAGGTATAGCTAAGATAAGAGTTACCTATCCTGATATAAACCACATTGTTCCACTCACACTATATAGACAATTGGGACTCTCAATGTACAAAAAGTGTCAGAGATAAAAGATGCTGTATTAGAGGAGTCTATCCAATTGGTCAAAGATGTATCAAGAACTGCTAAAAAACAACATGAATTAAATATGCTAATGTGATAGTCAAGGTATATTTGGTAAGGAAATTAACTGTGGTATGGAGAATGGCATCTCAATGCATAAGCTCCCAAAATTAAAATAACACTCTGCACATAAAAACAATGGATTCTATTACACAGATATTTCTTTGATCTCATAAAGAAAGCAAATCCTCTTGGTTTTATTATCAAATATCCTTTCTGTTCCATTCCCACCCAAACCAATTGCTTGGAGATGGAATTCTAGAGGTCTGAATGGAGCATTAAGGAATGTGAAAGGATACATATAGAAGCAACTCTGGCTATATGCTTATTTGAATTATGCAAATAAGTGCAAAGTTAGAAAAGGCATTTCTTTGTACTTGCTGGCCATTAGGCAGTGCTAAAAATGTCTCTATTCATAAACTATTTATGGCTAACCAACCTATAAATACATTAATAACAAAATCTTCATTGCCTATACTTGACAAAATAATATTGAAAATAATCTGAAAAGATTATTAATGGCCTGGAATTAATCCTATTTATTATTAGAATACCAAAGTTTTGTTCTTATCCCTTTCAACATATATTGTTTCTTAATTTTTTTCAAAATTAAATTGTTTTTTAGCTGTTTATCACTAAAGAATTTGGGAAACAGATTAACATTCTAAAAATTTCACTGGGAAGTACAAATTGGGTTAAAAAGTAAGAATGCGCCCTCGCCGGTTTGGCTCAGAGGATAGAGCGTCGGCCTGCGGACTAAAGGGTCCCAGGTTTGATTCCGGTCAAGGGCAAAGGGCACATGCCCAGGCTGCAGGCTCGATCCCCAGTCAGGAGCATGCAAATTGATTCTCTCTCATCATTGATGCTTCTATCTCTCTCCCTCTCCATTCCTCTCTGAAATCATTAAAAATATTTTTTTAAATAGTAAGAATGCTGGAGAAAAAAAAACAAGAATAAAGAGTTTTACTACATGAAAGTTTTGGGGAAACTGACATTAGTTATAATTTTTATAAAACAAAAAATACTCTTAGATCTTTTGAAGTAATTCTCCATTTCCAACTGTAACACTCAAACACAGTGGCTGAGTATCACTGTTATGAGGACTATGATGCATCTTGAAACTGTAGCTGGAAAGAGGGAGAAAGAGCCCTCAGAAAATGTTTTCCACAAGAAGAAACATTTCAGGTGAGTTGTAACCATAGAGAAATGGAATTCCCTGGGAGAGACCACCCATGCGGATTCTCCACTATCAAAAGCAACCAAGTCCAATGTTACAAAATGCAGCCCATGCCACCAAAGCAAAGCTCAGATGGTCCCTTCTGAACAGCTTTGATCTTAAAAGACAATAGAAAACTATAGGCTGAAATTACATGAAATATTAGGTTAAAATACATCTATTTACATAGATCTGTCAATATCTGTGTCTATCCATATTTACCAGTCCATCCTTTGATTTCTAGATTATACCCCAAACTGCTCTTGCACCCCAAAATGCTGATATAACCGCTAATACAAAATCAGAATTTCACATGAAAGACTGGTATGTTATGAGAATGATACTATTTTTAATATAAATGCTTCCACCAACATCTGAGTCATAAGTTGTCATCATTCCTTTTTATGTATATGTTATTGACTGTATTATATATATTCAATTTCAATCCCCTTAACAGCTAGAATATTTCACCTAGGACATAAATACATTCCACTTCGGGCTCATTTTAGAAAACTGTTGTGAGTTGGAATCAAGTCAGGATAGTTCTAAAATATGAACTGAATGCCAGTTAATGACAACTGAATTGTAATCTATACATAATAGTTCGTTGTTTTATAGAGCAAAAGATAGAATATTCAGTGTGTATTTTGGTTTCCTACAATAATGTTTTATCTTGATATCTTGTAAAATGGTTAGTATTTTAACAAGTAATTCTAGCAAATAAAGTTTAAGCTTAGGTTTAAAAAAATTTTATAAAGTGAATTTGTATCATGTTTACTTTTTGTTTCTATAAAATTGAAAAAATTAACTTTTGAATATATATGTATTAATCGTATCAGTTCTATATCATGTTTTATATCTAGGTGCATGAATGTTCATGTATTTACATATATTATTCATACACACACTTGCCCATTTACATGTGTACACATATGCATACATGCTTCATAGAATTAAATTTATATTGATTCAAACTGAATAAAAGGGAATTTCAAAACTTTAAATATACTAAGTATACTAAGTGCACTAAAATATGTTGTTTCATTTTGCAAAACAAGTATTTTGAAAATCAATCAAGTTCCACTCACTGTAGCATTAGCACAATTGCTGAGTGACTTTGACCTTGGAATGATTTCCTTGTCTTTTATGTCAAGTCTAATGGTTGGAAGTGTTCAGTGACCTCAAGCAGCATTAAAGACATCTGCTTTGGGGTTTCTACACCAAAGCCTCCCCAGTAACCATCTCCGTGGGTGCCAAGCAATCAGACTAATATGAACAAATATTTCAGACTCCTTTGGAGCAAACTAGGGTCCTGAACATGGAGTAAAATAAAACACAATTTTCCTTGTGGCACCTTCAAATAAAATCTCGTGAGCTCAAAATAAACTCAAAAGGTCTTATTTCCCATTCTGAAGTAGAAGATAATGTTGAAGACAATGCTATAAGCACTTTATGGTTCTTAAGTGGAAGAATCCTCACTGCAAGAGGGAATCCGAGACAAAGGAGCAGGCTAGACTTCCAGCTTTGTGACGAGTGAACAACAAATACAAAACAGAACAACATCCGGGGCTTCTGGCTTCCTGGAGATCGACACAATCACATGTCTAATTTTGAGTGTGCTGGACTAACCACATCACACCGCCCTCGTGTAAGCAGAGAATGGAAGGAATGAGGATGAGAGAGGAAGGTCCATGGCAGCGAGGTCATCCTCACCGTGACACCAGGGCCAGTCAGCCCGTCCCTCCACTACCCACTGTATCTTCTTGTCACAAGAAGGGCGAGGGGAAGTCAGTCGGCTGCCTACAATCACATGTCGTTGCTGGTCTTCTATGGATAGAGCAACCGCAGTTTGCTAAGGATCAAGTGGTTTTACTATGATGGCATTTTGTGGGGCTCTTCAGAGAATAAGAGTATTTTACAAAAAGGGCCCCATCTTCTCCTTCCACACCAAGGAATGGCTAAACTCTAAATGTGATCAGACTGCAATATTTATTATCTCCATAAGTTACTTTTTTGAAAATACTTGGATACCAATAAATGCATGTTGAATGAGTAAAAGAGTACAACCCTATAATCCCTTTAATAGCCTAGGTCACAGTATAATCACTCTTACTGCTACAAAGGGACTTCTTATATGTATCTAGTACATTTTAGGATCAACTTAATTCCTGTTTATTTTGTTCATTCTATTATGGGAATTGAGAATAATAATTTGCAGGG